TCTGGAACAGTTCCGCTGTACGCGCTGTTCCGGAACTAACGTCAGTATGAACTCAGCTTTAGCTTCTCTGGTAGTCTGGGACTATTGTGTCGGTATGCTCAAAGGCTATCCGTTCAGACTAATAACATTTGAAAAAAGAGTATCGCTCAGTGTCAAGCACTCGGCCTCATTGCTACCTATACCAAATAGCAAGAGTCATGTAGCGAACAATGATATGTCTAGCACTAGCTAATAAATTATCTATAGATCTTACATGCGACTATAAAGCAAGCAACTATTCATCAAATTCTGGCAAATATTGCAGGTTCGCGGTCAGCAGCACTCGCGCTCCAACTACAGTCCCTTTAATTTGTTCAAAAGTTTTCCTCGGCACCTTCCAAAGACTTATGGTTGAAATTAGCTGTCTTTTCTATGGTTCATGTTCGTAGTAAATTTTTCAGATGGGCTCCAAAAAGAAGGCAAAGAAGAATGCCGATTTCAAGAAGGTCAAGTTGAAAGTTGGCAAGAAACTCAAGAAGACTACCACAACTGATACAACCATTCAAAGTAAGGAGGTTATCATTATCATCGCAGCTTGAATCGATTCATTTCAGCGAAGAAGGTTGTGCTTATCTCCCAACTTGAAGAAAAGTCAGAGTCTAGTGACAAGCCACTTTCCTTTCGAGGTCTTTCACTAGACGAGTTGTGCAAGCAACTTGGTCATTTCAATAAGGTGAGTGGGTTTTTGCCTTTTTAGGTTTCCGGAATCTTTTGTGCTTTTCGATTTAGAGTGTTAGAAGAGACGCCTTGACGGGCACTAAGCAACTATTAACTTCTCGCCCGGACCTCATTGAGGCGCATCTGAGGACTTTGGTTCCTGCAATAGCTCGTCTAGTTTCAGATTGTGTAAGTACGGTTTCTTCGTCGCTCTCGTTTACGATTTTTGGTCTCGATGATGAAATATCATAATCAGCATCTTTGAAGGGTCATGATCCTGCTTTGAACGGTCAACTGCGGTCGCTTTTACGGGTAATATGCTCAGTTTCTTCTCATGCTATGGCTGCCCATTTTACTTTGTTCGTGGCACATCTTCTCCACGCTTTGACACATAACGAAGCAGGGTAACTCATTATGTGAAGTTTTCGTTGAAAAAATTTTCTTGTTTGTTTCAATCTGGTTAAGTTGATCCAAACGATTCTGTGACACAAAGAATCTTAAAATGAATAATTTTCAGGGTTCGCAACTTTTCATTATCGATCATCGCTATGCTGTTGAATAGTTATCCCGATCTTTGTCGGACTAATGTTGATCTTTTCAACTCTTTCGTTAAATTTCTGAATGGATCGCGAAAACCAGCTTGGAATTCTGCTCGCTTTCTTGAGACCATCGAGTTGTTTATCAAGGCAAGTGTCCCATCACCTAACAGTGATTCTGTGATCGTATGCTTTTTCTATTTTCAGGCTTATTCGGTAGACAAGACGATGGGAAAATTTCATCCTGAAGAAGCTAGTCTTGATTT